TTGTTAGAAATATTTGTTTTAAAGATAAAACGAGTATGATTCTAGCTTACTTGTTGTATTATTATGAATTGATGTTGGAATCGTTCGATGATAATCTGAATTTCTTATTGATAGAATCAATGCACGATGACTCAGTTGAACAAACTAGAAATATACCAAAGTCTGAGAATTCAATTGAACACAAACAACAAAATCTTTATAAGCGTAAACTGTCGAAATTCAATAGCGAATGTGAAAATGGCATTTCAGGAAAAAAAAGTTATCTGCGTGTATATGCATAAAACATTTTCAACAAACTGATCTCTCTTACAAAGATTTTGCACAAGATAGTCATGTTGTGGATCTTGCTTAGTATGATCCCTGATGAACTCCTTGAAAAAAACTATTCCAATAAATGCTGGTCGTTTAGTGGCTACTAATTGAAATGTTCATGTCTTTACGCTTATCTTGGGAACTTCAATTCAAAATGATATTCATGGATATCATAATGAAATTTTTGATGCTTTGATTGAATTCCAACGACAAAAATATATCGATTTTAATTTACAATTAGTAAACGAAATAATCATTCATTTAAATTTGAATCAGGATCATTGAGTACTTCTTGTTATTATCTATGATCATATTAATATTAAAAATACAACTCGAGTAATTTTCATCGATCCTTTAGGTGAGTCAGTTCTGAATTATCTCATCTTAGTGTTGTTTAGAAGTAACATTATTGGAGGGAAGCATCAAATTAATCCACATAATCATATTAACCTACAAGAAAAAATGAACACAATTATGGTAGTTGGGTAATTTAATGTGCTACAGAGTGGCTTGAAAACTGACAGATCAATGTTGAACGATTGCAGACAATCAATGTCAATGCAGAACGACGAATACAATAGGAGTGTTGATTCGATTGGTTTCTAGCTAAAGCTGTTGAGCGAATATGATTCAAGACACATTGGTATTAGGTATTACTGATCAATAGAAAAATCTAAAATTAAATTAAAAATAAATTATTTTTGGAAATTTATGGAATTTTATAATATTGCTACAAATAATCAGATTACAATAGTCAATCTTTTAATACACATTGACTGATACTTCGATGCATGGGCAGCGTAACTGTCGTTTGTGCCTATTTCTTACAACATCATACCTCATCACAGTATGAATATCATCAATCACGTGACAACTGTTGCTTGTTGGGTTAACTATTTGTCAAGTGCTTATCACTTGATTCAATTTCCATATACGTTCTTTATGATATTTCTCAAATAGGATTTCTACATTAATGATTATTACATGCTATCATGCATTACTGTGGATCACATGTAATTCTTACTAAAATGAATAAAACTCAATAACAGTGATTCATTTAACCAAAAATATTATTGATTAATGTTACTAGCTGAAAAGCGTATTTATATCAATAAAGTTTATTTATCATCTACATTATAAGTTCTGTTTTTTTAATCACGTGTGTGTGTTGTATCGAAATATTGTTGTTTGAATATGTTTCAACTTTCGACAGAAAAAAATTATGAAATAAATCATTGTATTATTTAAATATACAAAAATACTATTCTGTTATATAATTTACAAATTCTTAAGGAGGTCTGTTCTTTTAAAAGCTTCAACGGTCAACCGATAATGATCATTATATTGTCTTAATTTTGAGACGAAAATTGGGCAACATGACATGCTAGTTTAATTTTCAAAAACTATGAAATAACCTCTAACGTATATAACATGTCATATAGAATTTATTCAATTTAGCTTTTAGACACAAATATAATTCCTTCAGAACTTTGAAATATTGCTAAATGTAACATATGGGTGTGGATGTAGCTGTCTGTGTAGATAAAATGATCGTTCACACCCTCACATACACCTTAACTTCTTAGGAGTCATAGGTATCCTAGCTGAAGTTGTAGGTGGTTTTTGTAGCAACTTCTCTGAAAAAATGTGTTTTCGTTGTTTTCTTTTTAATAACAAAAACCATTTCTTGACACTTTGAAAATTGATTAAATAAACTTCAGACAACATATTTGGAAAACCTATAGTATACAGTTCAATGTATCTTTGTCTTCTCTTTCGAACGATGAAAGCTGCAGCTCTTTATCTTGTTTCTATGGAAAGTTATTCAAAAAATACTCAGCTTTTTTTTTTAAATAGAATTAATACAATGGCTACAGTATACAGAAAAACGATTCTTATCATAATCTTATTATTACGATGTTAGTTCAATACTGATCAAATAGCACAGAAATATAGAGCGTCGTTTTCTCTATCACTAGACAAAAAAGAACGTCTCTTCACGCTTTCTATATGAAAATAAGACAATGACGAAACTACTTTTGGTATGCCTGAAGTACATTTCTGTGTTATTATTATAAATTTTATATTTAAATAGAAGTACTAAACAGACTACATTAATAAAAGCATCTTATACATAAATTGGATCAGTATTCTAAAGATTTTATAGAAATATTCATTCGAGACGTCGAATGAAACAAGACGACTATTCTCGATCGATAGTCGTCGGAGAGGAATAAAAGTTTTCGAAGAACTCAAGACCTTTCCTTGTACTCTTCTTGAGAAAAAAAACATGATTTTTCTCAAATCACGATGCTTATAATTCTTTCTCCTTCCGAGTTTTTTTTAGTCTGAACAACGCTGCAAACATTATGTTTCATTGTATCTGCATCATCTGCCTGTCAATTATGCTTTCAAATGATAAGCATTTTTTCACTTAAGAGATCTAATTCAAAAACTTTCTTGTGTGTATAAGAGGTCATTCAGTTGACATATCTGAGTGAATTTCGGTTCTAAATTTTAAGGTTTAACTCGAAGAATAAAATGGTTAACTCACTTTTTAAGCTTTATTCATCTTTCATTTCTATTATTTTTCCTGGATTATTCAGTCAAGTCCAGATAAAAAAAACCACGGTCATAAACAAGCTTACACATGAATAAATATGAAGATCTACATGGTTCAATATGACAAACTTATGTCTTTGTGTCGTATTTGGAGAAAAAACCGCTTGTTTACTTTTTTCGTGCATGGAAGCCGTATACGTTCGTTGGCAGGATTACATGGAGTTCGAATTCATCGATGCCATTGAATATGAAGCTAGTACGATAACAATTAGCATAATAATGTAAGAAAGGAATGGGTATCACGGTATTGTTAACGTAGAAACAAATAGTTGTTTTTCATTTTTCAATACTTTTTCTTTCGAAATGAAGCCGCATGAAGAAAAAGTGACATAGTGATTTTACTTGGCTCAGTATTAGAATAGAGAACACAGGTTCATTTTGTTTTTTAAAGGAGAAAACTGAATGGTTATATATTGGACATTTATAATTTAGTTTGTCTGTATCTTTATGAAAAACAGAAGAACTTGTTCATAATTTTGTTTTTCATATTCAGTTTAATTATATATATATATATATATATATTTACAATTAACTGAAAATATACAATGAAATGTTATTTACAAGTTCGATAAAATTACATGAACAAAACAAACAGGTAGAAATATATTGATTGAAGAGAAGAAGAAAAATGAGTTCAAATTTTCTACTTCAATTTCGTTTTATTTAATATGGTTTCTGTTCTCTTACGCTTTTCATTTTAGTAAAAAAAAAACAGTAGTGTGACAGTTTATTCAACCATCGTTACGTATTTTCTTTTCTCTTTCCTTTCTTAACAACACATCTGGAATACCATGAATTTGTGTCTGCGCAACGTTTTTTTCTTCATTTTCAATAAAAATAATTTCATTGTGCTATTTACAAACTGTATCGATGTGCACTTAGGTCAAAAGCAATAGTAATATTCATTGTAAGAGCAATGCGGACTGCAAGTCGATTGTACTTAACAGTGATCTTTGCAATCATCACAATGTGTATGACTTTTATCAGCTTTCATTTATATCAAAAAGACAAAAGTGTACAACAATTAGCTCAAATCATTCAACCTGTTGCTTCAAAAGCGTCACCTTTTATTTCCACAACCTTAAGTATTGAAAAAATTATTAGTAAAGGTACATTACGATTTGGCTTCTTCTTTTGTATTATGAAATTAATCTACAGAATTTCATTGAAAAAAATCAAAACTTTAAATTTTCATGGGTTTAGATCTACAATAGATAGGAGTAAAGTAATCAATATATATAGCTCTTACGCATCTAGATACTTTCAAAAATACGTTGTAAACGAAATTTCATTATTTGTGAAGTAGTAATAAGCTGTTTTCTTGTATCCTTTGGTCTCGAAGGTAAAAATATCAGTTCTTCTCACATTTAGTAGCGCTTTTTATCCTAAAAAAATAAAATCAAAGTTTTTCAGTCATCGTCTGTCATTCCATCTATAGTATTAGGTTTTGTGTGTGAAAATAAACAACACATTTGTTATGAAATAAAAAGAGAATCATGTTTTACTAATCATATAATTAAAAACATGACTAAAAAATGATAAATTTCCGCTAGACACGTGCCAAGAAAAAAATTTCCTAAAACATATAAGTGAGCAAATTATGCTTTGTCGTTGTATTCATTAAAGAAAAACCAAGAAAGAACCAACTTATTTCTTGATTTCTAGGCATTTCTATCACTAAAAATTAGTTTTTATCTGTCCACGGCGAATCAACAGAAATCATCGAAAAATGTTTAGACATGAAGAAAAATTACGAGAAATCATTAGAAACCAAAAGCAGCCATTAGGAGTATTAGCAATTATTGAGAATTAAGAAAATCATTAGAAATCAGAGCTTCAATTTTAATCTTATTATAATGGAGGTTTTCTATAATTTAGAGTAATTTCTATTGATTTCTCGTGGTTTATAATGGTTTCTGATGGTTTTCGGTAATTTTAAATCACCTGCAGTCATTATTCGTATTCTTACGGTGTTATAATAACTTCTAGTGATTTCTAATGATTTCTAACATAGAAATCAGTTTGTTCCTCCTTGAAAAAAATTAATCTTTTTTGTTTAAATATTAATGACAGATTCAACTATCCACACTGAAGAAAAGTCCACAAAAAGTGAAAACCCATTTGTTAAATATTCAAGTGATGAACATCTACGTTCACTTCTTCGTAAACAATCGAATTCACTTGGTCAAGTTATTGTAACAATCATTGGTGGTGATAGTTATTCATTATTTGCTTGGGATTGGTACGAAAGAATGTTGGAAATATCTAATGATACAAATAATTGTCATTGTTTTTTTATTGCTATGGATGAAATCGCTGTTATTTTAGCTGTAAAACAAGATGCACCAGTATATTATTCAACGTTTTCATTTGACGATCAAATGCAATGGATTAATACTATTGAAGCACGACAACATTCACTTTATCGTGTTGGTCATGCGAAATTTAATACTCCAGCTAAAATTGTTCGAATGGGATATTCTGTTATGCTTAGTGAAATGGATGTTTTCTGGTAAGAATATTCAATCTTTAATTTAATTAAGAAATCTAATCGATCGACCATAACGAATAAATTTCTCAATATTGTGCATGTATTTCGATAGTATTAAAACTTGAAAAAACAAAGTCCTTTTTTTTGTAAAGATGCATCTCTCTTATATATTTCAATTGATTCGTTTAGAATTCGTTATTTCGAAAATCGACAACGAAACAGATATGTCTAAAATCTACAACCTTGAAAGAAGAGCTGCTGGACAATTTTTGTTCTATGCTCTTTAACTCTTAAGTAAATTTCTTTTTTTTCAATCTCTCAAGCGATTCGAAACCAACGAATACTAAAAACAGATGACTAATGCAGTATTTTGAAAGTTTTAAAGTCAATTTATTTGTCTCTAAATGAACATTGTCGGTAACACACGAAAATGTATACTAATGAGATTGTTTTTTGTACGTAACATTGCCATTATGGATTCGTTTAGGTTTGTTAAAACTTTCAATAACTTCGAAAGATGATCGGTAAGTGTTCAATATGTAAACATATTTCCTGCAATGTATCGATTACATACTAGTGATATTCAGCTTCTTAAATCGTGTCTTAACAATAATGTTTATTCTGAGATAAATAAATTGACTTTGAAGCTTTTACACTACTTCATTAGTTATTTGTTTTTTATTGTTTGGTGATTCAAACGGATTGAGAGATTGAAAAAAAAGAACCTTACTTAATAGTTAAAGAGCGTAAAACAAAAATTAACAAAAAAGCTTTTTTCTGAAAACTATGGATTTTAGACATATCTGTTTCGTTATTGATTGCAAAGTAACGAATCCTAATTGAATAAGTTGAAATATATAAGATTATTAAGAATTAAAAGATGCATCTTTAAAAATAAAACAATTTGTTTTTTCACGTCTTAATACTATCGAAATAGGTGAAAAATACTGAGAGATCCATTCTTTATTACCAATTTGTTATCCACAGAAACTCTTTCAATTTGTTGGTTATTAGTTACATTGTTAATATGTTACTATGAAATGAATTCGTACTCAGCAAGAATATGACTTTTTGCGTAGAATCTGAGTCGAACATTTTTTTGTAGTTCTTTTAACTATAATAAAATAATTATTTGACATGATGAAAAAATTGAGTAAATGAAATACTTTCGTTGAATATATGTTTTCTTTTGCTTACCATTATTGGTCATAGAATTGAAAGTCAACTTGAAGTATCATGAAAATTCATGAATACTTTTTCTAATCAGTTTATCAAGAATGTTTAAAATATTTTTCTTCAAAAATTAGATGATATATGTTTAAATATTGTCAACTGTTTTGTGATCATCTTAAGTTTTTAGTTAAATGACTAAAATATCTCTTGATATTTTCTCTGATGTTTATACTTCATATTCTTACTGTCGTAGAAGGTGTATATTTATAAACAAATAAATCAGGATAAATTCGATTTCTCATGGACCGATATTGTAAGATCATATTCAGATTTAGATGCGAAATTGGTAACTCATTTTGATTATAGGGCTTCAAGATAAATACCAGATATTTTGATTTGTATATCTATTAGACATGCACCAAAACACATTAAAATGATGAAGGAGTTTGATGTTATCTTACGCAGCATCAACTACTATGATAATCTGATGTACAATAAGATATATTAAAAAAACAATAATTCAAACTAAAAGTCTAGCCAAAACTTATAAGTTTAGGTTTTTGTTTTGATTATTTTAGGACGTAACTGAACAATAGCATCTAACTTTTGCTACTGGTATTTTGTTGTGGAGTTCTTTCAGTTCAGATTTATACTTGCAGACAGATTTTTATGGTCTCATAGTTCGATAATTATAAGAATTGCTTGTCATCTAGACAAATACTATCCAAAATATTTATCACATTCCTAATCATTACAGATCGTTATAGATATTTCTATCTGTCAGAATCTGGGAGAAAAAAAAAACAAACTCTTTCTCAGTTATAAATTTACTACCCATTAAATATAATTATATTTCATAAAAATCTATTATTATTATTATTATTATAGGAAAAAAAATCCACTTGATTGTTTACAACAACCATTAAATACTTATGATTTCGAAATAAGTCATCATTATGGGGCTCATCCACGTATTAATATTGGTGTATTTTTTGTTCGATCAACAAATGCATCTATATTACTTTTTTCTCATGTTGCTGAATTTTGGCTACGTTATGGTAAAGGTGGTTTTCTTTCTGATCAACGTGTACTTGATGCTTTACTTAATAATTATGATCGATTAGATAAAACTTATTTAAAAGCAATGAAACTAATGCCAGTTTTATTATTAAATTGGACAAAACATGATTTTGGAAATCAATTTTCACATTTGATGACAGATGGTAGTGCTTTTGTATTGTTTAATCAAGCAGCTAAAATAGGAAAAAGATCAAAAAAATTTTATGGTGAAACAAAACCAAAATTTTTTACAGTTACAGTAGAAAATATGTAAAAAAATCAAAAATTATATTAATTAGTTAATTTTTATTTTTCTTTAATTAATAGAAATATGTCAATCAGTTCTAGAAATCTTCTTATTCGTTCTCTTCTTATTCTTCAACATACAAATTTAAAAAATCGAACACTCATTTTTCCTGCTTTTTCGTCGAATTTAACTGCCATTCCAATAACATATCAACTTGATATAAAAAAACTTTTACTCTATTGGACAGAAGAACTTATTCGTTTTCCTGAATTTCTTCTTCTTGAAAAAATTCGTTCTTTACCGATAACGACTATTCCATATTCACCTAGGAAAACATACGAAGATGTTAATGGAATATTGAATTTAACTTTAGAATCAATTCCTTTAAATTTACCAGCACCTTCACCACAATTTGAAGTACATGTTCGAGATTCTCTTCTATGGTGTTCACCACCTAGGCAAGATGGGACTTGGTGTTTTCATCATCCAAGAGATTTTGGTGCAACAATGGAAATATTATTTGCTTGTCGAGGTGATCCATATCCTCCTTGTGCAAATAAAACAGAAAAAAATGAACAATTTCTTGAAAGACCATACGAAAAACAATAGGAAATTATTGAATATTGTATTTTCACAATGAAGACATTCAAAAAAGAAAAGAAACAAATCTTAATAAAATATATTTATAATTTTTAGTCGCAAACTTTAATAAAAATAAATCATTGAAAAATATATTCTCATGCAACACAACAGTGATGACCTACTTCGATAGATGAATATAAATGCAAATAATATAATAGATAAAGTTACTAACTCAATATTTATTAATTGAAATTTCAAAAAATCGAAAAACTAATGAATTTATTAATGTTTTTTCAGCATTACAACGTACTTTACATGCCATGTTATAAGAAGTAAGATGATTTTTCTTTCTTTCATATTATTCTCTTTTTCATTGTACTAGATGATTGAATAAACAACGAAAATAAAAAGACTTTTTTTTTTTCATTACATTGCGTTGCTTCCTTAGAATTGATTAGAATAAATCAAAATTCTGCAAGAATAAAAATCAAATCAGATTAGAAATCAACAGCATATTGACGACAGTTTTCTATTTGACTGTAAGGGAAAAACGTGAAAGAACGATGCGAATATCAACCATTTCGAATATACCTCATCGACCTAAAATTCAACGTATGAGTCAAAGAGAACTTCAAGAAACTCAAACTAGTAATGATTTCAATTATTCATCCACGGCAGTAGGAATCTTTTCTTTAATTTTCCTATTTTCATCTTCTTTTCTAGTCAACAAACAAATGGATAAATGGACGTCAAAGCCAAGTTGTACCAGAAATAAATAATTCAATGAGATTAAGTGAAGGACTACCAAGAAATCCTAATGATAATGAAGAGTAAATCAAATATTTCATAAGGAAACTTTTATCAATGAAATAATATTGTCGTTCTATTTTTTATTTTCTAGACAAAAAAGTTTCTTTCGACGACCTTGGTTTTGGGTTTTTGCAGCTATTTTTTGTTTAATTCTTATAATTGCAATTGTTGCCATTGTTCTTGGTATTATTCTACGTATGTTTATTTTTTAATACTTGATTTGTTTTCTTTCATGACATATTTGAGAGCTATAGAAGTGACAATTGCATCAACATTATCGTTTTCACGTTTTCACCAATACACAATATAATACGAATTATTTTAATAGAAAAAAGACAAACATGATTATAAATATGAAAATTAGATCTTGTTTTTTTTCTTGATTTACATTTTTTCATCAATACATATTTTAATGAATTTTTTCTAGCTTCGACAAACAACAGTCAGACAACAGCTCAAAGTAATTAAAATCGAAATGATTTTATCATAGGTAAAATCATGTTTTTTAGAAATGGTAATGGTGAAATCAAAAATATCTGATTGTATGTACTAAAAAAACAAATTACATAATTAATACGATCTATTTTGTGTTTGTTTTCTTCTTTAACTAAAATCCAACAAGGCAAAGTTCTCTAATGCGAGAGAGAGTATTCAGTCAGCAGAGCAGATACTCTTTCAAGTTTTGTTTGGAAAAAGATTTGAAGTTAAAACAAATAAAAAACTTCTGATGTAAAATTTTTTTTTCGATAACTTACAGTTGAAATAGTTTTAGTTAATCAATGAGTATATTATTTTTTTTTCTTTATTGTAGCCATGGTATGCTCAAGTACTGGTCATGGATTAATTGCACTTTTAAATAGATCAATTCCATCCGGATGGATATCATATTCGTACAGTTATTCAGCTACAAAAACAATACCAACACTCTTATTTGGTTTTGAAACTGATAATATGCATAGTTTTTATTTGGACGCTGTCTCTGTAGTAGACAATAATGCAACTTCGATTGAATTATTAACTAATCCCAGTTTTGAAAATTCAACAACAAATGCACTTGGTTGGATTACATCATGTGAAACGACATGTACGAGTCAAATAGTTTCTGGTCTTGAATGTTTTGAATACTCTGGAAACTGTTTCATGGCTTATTGCATTTCAGATCTTTCTTTTATTTTCTTTCTAAGTCAATCGTTTATGGCTACAATTGGAAATACATATACAATCTCATTTATGCTAAATTATATAGGAAGTTCTAGTACTGGACATATATCCTTTTATCTTGATGTTAACTAAACGTATTCAGAGATTATTATTTACAGATTGTCATTTGTGTGAATGAGCTCGATAAATTGAAAATGAAATTTTCTTTTTGCCTAAAATAAATAAAATAAAAAACGTTGAGTCTCAGCTAATTGTCAAACATAACATATGTTTTACTGTCAGAGAGACCATTGGCCGACCAACAACAAATATACAGATATGACAATAAATCAATGATTCGATAGCACATATAAAATACTAAGTGTGCTTGAGCGTTTGTTATATTATCGATAGTTTTATTTTTAGATATGTCTATTACTACCAATTGCTCAGGTTACTGATCTCTAAAAGAAGCTTATTTTGTGAAATAATTAATATTTTCTATTTAAAGCTATTGTATTATTAAAAATCATATTAATTGGTTGAATTTGATCATTCTTTTTGAATAGATAAATAAGAACAGTTCGAAAATTAGAAGATGTTGCAAAATAGGTAAAACAGATGTAGTCCATGTTTTGAGATATAAAAAGAAAATTAGATGCAATAAATAAAATTAATGATTTGATCATTTTTTTATCTTGAATTTTACCTATTTCATTCACTGTCAATTGTCTGTAGAGTGCCGTAATCTGAACAAGTTCAGTTGATATTCATGGTTTTTTGCGAACCATATGAATTTTGTTCAGTTTTTTCTATTACTTAAAAATACTTTACTAATAGTAACGTTCCTATGTAATGACGCAGAGAAAAAACCTTCACAATAACCCAATCACGACGATTATTAAAAGATTGTTTTCATTTATGTAATATGGTAACTTCAAGTTTGACAACTAGTTTTATAGCAGCAACAAAACTGAACGAAAGCCGTATGATTCGAAAAAAAAACTTAAATTTATTTTACACATTTAGAACTCGAACATAGTCAATCATGATAAAGCAAGATGCAGTCCATCATCAACTATGTAAGAGTCAGTTCATATAAGTCACGACTGAACCTGCCCAATCGAGATCGTCAGATTTTTCTCAATTTACGATATGTTGTAGAGGAAAAAGTTTTATGAATTTTACCGCAAACCGTTTTAAAAAATATTGGCCCTTCCAATTTTTAAAAATATTTTACGAAAAGTCGTAAAAGTCACTATATCACTAAACAAAGGTCATAATGGGAACATATCTCAAGAACAACTGAACCAATTGATCTGAAATTTTCTACAGGCATATATCTCACAAAGTCCTATTTATCAAACAATTTTTGTCTCAAAATATTGAGTCTTTGGAATTTTATGAATTACCCAATATATATAAAAATAAATGCGAAAACCTCGGATTTAAATCCGAGTGTTATGTGTACTTCAAAAAGTGAAAAGGTATATTCACTGTGTTTTTTATCACTAAATTGCAAGGAGAAAATACAGGCGTGCTAAGTTAGCATGGACCATACTGTATGCGACCCTATCCGGTGACCACTGACTCTACTCTCAGAGTGATATAGTATCTTTAGAAATCACAGGAATTGAGTTCAGANTGGTTCATACAATAGTGAAAAAGTGCAGATCAGGAAGTTTAGTAAATTTTCATTTTTCATCAATTATGCTAATTTCCAGCTAAACTTGTATACCTTATATCTCCCTACAGGAACGGTTTTGCGAGCTGAAATTTTTACCATAGATACAACTCGTCGAACTCTACAAGACAGAATATGTTTCGGTCGATTTAAAGAACTCATGTGTTTTCGTGGTAGAAACTCCATGGAATAGGCCATTAATTAATATTTACGAAAAATTAAGGACTTTTGTAATAAATTAATTACTGCATGATATTTTCATAGGACAGACGAACTTCTGTTTAGACATTGTCTTCTAATAGATGTGGCCTTCTTTTCTGGGAGAGGTTTAGTTATTTATTTCGAGACTACCACTAGTAAAATGGTGTTAGGCTACATAAAAGAGAGACAAAGCGAAAGGGCAAATACATTGATATTATTTTATTTATTCAAAAAAGCCTTACTCATGTATTTTCTTACAATCATAGACAATTTCATTCTTTAACTAAACTGAAATGTGCAGTCTTTACGTTTATTTCTTTATTTTTTTCGTCTCATACGATATTTTTTCTTAGGCTATTCTCGTTAAAAGCAGATTAACATTTAATATATTTACGAACGAAGAAATACAACGAAAAAAATATCAATATTCTGTTACTAAATCATATTGAAAATCAATTAAGATTTTATTTCATCGATGATAAGCCACTAAGGCCATCAAACAAAAGTAGAATATCAATTGTCAACATCTATCTCTTGATTACTATTGATCTCAAGTCAGAGCTTACAAAAAAGCATTAATTTTGTTTTATCTATTTTCGTTTTGCAGCGCATTTGCATTGATTTATTACACAATAATGTTACTATTTGTTCCATTTGTTTGGATTTTGATTAATCATGCTCATAATATCATGTCGATGGATTGTGAATACACATCACGCGAGTATCAAATTGTTCTTCGACCAGATCTCTTAATAAATTCTTTTGAAACTGGTGTCATGAAAGTTATTGATGAATTAGCAAAAATTGAAGATGCAAAAATTATGCCATTCAAAGTATCACGATCATCTTTGAAATTCAAAAACGTACCTTTTACTCAATATGTTTTGGATAACAGTCGAGATAAAAATGATTTTTATATAAGACCAGTATTTAAAACACGACAAAAGAAAATAGCAGAACCAGCTGATATTGTGATGAAAATTTCAAATATTGATCCAGCTCTTGCATGTGTACAACTAACAGTAAATAGCTTCGTTTTCTTTCTAAACAAAAAAAAACAACGATAGAACTTGAAAACTTAAGTTTCTTGTTTTTTTTGTTCTAATTGAATCAAATATTTTCTTATTCTTTTCTTAGGTTGCAGAAGATTATATTAATAACACAATCACTAAATTCGAACTCGATATACATACTAACAACGGTGAGCTTACAGTTAAAAGTGCACGTAGTTTTACTACGGCTATGTCATTTGATTTCGATCAAATGTCTCCAGTCAATTTGTCCTCAATTCTTATTGATGCTGATACAATTACTCGTTCGGGCCAACCAATCATCATTGTACCTGATTCATTGGGCAAGGTTACTATGCAAACAGCTGAATTTAACATTAATTTAGCAGGAACAAAATCGAATGCAGAAATTATGTACTATCCAAAAATAGGCGACGTCAAAACTGAATTTTCTTTTAAAGTTAAAGGTACAAAAGTAGATCCAGAAGTAATTCGTGTTGCGCAACAATTAGCTGCTCACTTGTCACAACTACGAACAATAGCTTTATATGCATTAATACATCCAACGGATTAATAAAAATAAACGAGATCCTACCAAGAAATTTTTATTGATAATAAGGTTTTATAAGTATTTTATCTGAAACAAAAAGAAATCTAATCAAGAAAATGAAATAAAATGATTGTTTTGAAATCTAAGACGAACATAGAATATTGATTAAAGGACAGGGGCGCATAAGAAGCCAATTCGGCCCATATAATATTTTCAGTCACTTTACTGCCCATCCTATTCAGAAAAATGTGTTGATACTTTTGGTAATAATTTCAAGTCAAGCTGTAAGGATTATAAGCCACTTTGAGGGAGAATGCCTGCAAAAAAGTATTGAAGTTTCATTGGGCTCATAGTTGTCTAGTATTAGCTCAAAATATACGACTTTTAGACAATGTTTCAAGCTCAACCCATATTGGTTAGAAAGAGCGNGATCTTGGATGGTTCTTATAGTACGACTTAGTATAAGATTGCATGAACCACGATTTTTTGTACGATTTTTGCAAGATTTCGTATGATCAACAAGATCTTATGTCCGATTTTTTGACCTGGGATCGTTTACGGAAAAGAACAGAGATATATGGCTCAACGAACACTAAGTATAATTTACTTTTTTTTTCTTCATTTTAGAATTTTCATTCAACAATTGAACGTAACAATAAATTAAAAAAAATTATAATTTTAGCTGTCAATTTTTAACCGATTGTACGTGAGGGAAGGAGAAAGAATCAAATAACGCCTAGTGTCCAGATGTAAATTAAACATAATTTCATCGGATTATTCAGAGAATCCTATCGGATCCGAGGAGATCCAAATCCAGAATTCTTCGCCCTGAATAGATATCACCGATTCAATAGGTGTTAAACACTTTAATAAAAAAAAACACTAACAGAAACCAATTTTCAAATTTTCTTTATATCGAAATAGCCTAAATATTAATTCATTTGTATTATTTTATTTAAATACTGATAGTTAAACAATAAAGAAGTAAAATTCTTACTTGTCTCAGAAAAAAGAAAGTTATATTTACTTTGTGTCTTACAAAAAAGATAACTGAATCTTATTTGCATAAACTTATTTGAACTTGTTTTTCTAACTGAAATCAATTTGTTATTATTATTATTATTATAATTCTTTTTTTGTTCAATTGTACATGTAAATGAAAAATTAGTAAAACTAGGAAAAAGTATGTTTGATGAAAACAATTAAACATAAGGACCAGCTGAGTTTATTTGATATGACATGACCACTGATACACTGCGATTTTAATAAGAATTGGCAGTCAAAGACAGAAACGTATTGATTTTGGATTTTTCAAAATAAGAATCGCTTATTTGTCAAGCATGGCAATAATCAATATCAGCTAAGGCGATGACAACTGGTTATGTCTTATTCAAAGTATTGACCGAACTTAGTTCTTCTAACTTCTACAAATGAACGATCATTAGCATTAAAAAAAACATGAGGAACTATTACATTTCTGATACGAGAACACCATGTCTTCTTAGTATTGAATCTTCATCGATCGTTAAGTGTTGATGATTTACACTGTTATTCTTCTTCTCTGCATAAGACTGTTTTACACACAATTACCTTCATTAAATTCTATAATTATATTCTATTTTTACTGATAAAGATTGGTAAGAAGATTGCCAGGACGCAAATGAGTCTATTTAACTTTTCTTCATTTAACTAATTGCATTTTTTTCATCTACTAGTCTCAAATTTGAAACAAACAATTTCAATTGCATCTCCTTACAGAACGTTCAACGAACTAGAAATATCATTTTTTTTCTATATGATGAACGTTTACTCGATGTTGTTTGCTATTCATACAAAACACAAATATCTTAATAGTCTGAAGGTCGTCACGGCTGAGCGCCTTCGTTATTCGATTCATTTTTGAAAGGTAGTATATTTAAACTTCAATATCACCAATCATGCAATCACTCGATACAAATCACTGACTACTATTTATCTTGAATGATCCATTCGATGGTATGCTGACTCTAATGTAACATACACCTGCTCTTACAGTTAGTTAGTGTGTATGAGATTCACAAACAATAACTCTGCGTCCGATTGGTCTTTTGTCCAGAGCTACAACTGTTATTAGTTCTAGGCAAGATATCAGACTACTGAGTCTGTCACTAGGTAATACACAAAGTAGGCGAAAAGCATGCGTATTATTCTTCTCAATAATTTGTCTTTGTTTTTTTAATTATTATTTGAATGAGTATATTTATTTTAAAACTAGTATGTCTATATAATAATTCTGATTAGAAAATCGAATAAAATTTAAAAAAAAAATGAAAATTTCTAAATCCAAACCTATTGGTATTATCTTGTGTTGATGTTGGTAATTTTTTTGTTTTCTTAATTTTTTTACATTTTTTCTTTTTTTTTATTTTAATATTATTATTATCAAATTGATAACCATTATGAATACAAATATTAAATGATGATGAAGTCATTTTAGCTTGAGAATCTTTATATAAACAAGCTATTTCAGACATTTCTTCATCAAATGCTAAAAATCTATTTAATAATTGTGTATATTCAGCTGGTGAATAATCATTATCATCATCATTTGATGGTTGTAATAAATCAATCATTGTCGACATTGAATGTTGAATTTTTCTATCCATATAAATTAATTTTTCATATAAATGTTTATTATATAATAACCATGTTAAATGAAAAGATTTCATATAATTTTCTTCCTAAAAATATAAAAAAAAAAAGATATTTTTTTGCTTTTAGTTTATAAATACATACTAAATAAGAAACAATAGTCGAAACATTATTTGCTGCTTGTATAAACATATTATATTCATCCAAAAGAAATGAAATAAATAATTGTACATCATGAGAAGTTTTTGAACATGTATGAAAACGTTCTAATACTTGATTTCGTATTTCACGAACATATTCTAATACAATTGATTCAAGTTTATTAAATAAAGATTGAGGATTTATATCAGTTAATCTAAAAAATCAATATAAATTTTTATTTTTAAAAATAAATTCTTTTTTTTTTCTTTCGTTCGTTTATATTTACTTTTTTACATATTCTTTTGCCTTAGAAATATCATCAGAAAATTGATTTTCTAAAAATAAAAAGAATAAATAAGACGAAAGAAAAAAATTTATTCATTCTAAACCTGAAAATTCTTTATCTGTTGCACGATAAACACATTTAATAATATGAGAAAGATCATCCCATAATTGACGAGAACTTATATCATCAACATCATTCGTACATGATCGACACCAACACTCATCATGATTATCGTCAGAACTCGTATCCGGTACAATAATCATTCGATCAGATTCTTCTTCAAATTCCTAATTATAAAAGCAAAAAAAAAACACATGAAATATAATTAAAACTAATAGAAATAAATCATACTTGAGATGTAACAGTCGAACTACTTGCAGTTTCTTTTTCTTCCAATCGAAGTTTAGCTTCACAATCCGGACATGTATACAATGGAAGCTTAATAAATGTCGAAATGTTTTCTTTTCGAAATTTTAATATCAAATATTTTAAATCTTTGGAAAAAAATTCAACATTTTTAAAATCTATCGAAATTAAATAATTCAAAACACTAAGTTAAAGTTTTGCTGCTGCTTTTTTTTTCTTAGAAATACTTCGTCCCTTCTCGAGATTTCTGGGAAAGAACTTAGCAGACAAATTTAGAAAGCTTCAGGGCAACTAGATATCGACGAGTAGAGAAAAATTTGCCCTTCGTTTAAAGTTCACGGATGCTGTCTTCTATAAGATATTAAGATGATAATGGCTTCCTCCGATTTCTTCGAGATGCTTTCTTCAATTGAATTGAGCATCAGACTATTTCAGATGGGTATCTTTTTATTTTTTTGTCCTTCGAAGAAAAACGGCAAAAATATCAAAAGTACCTTAGAAATGCATGTGGTTCTATTTTTGTAAGATCTACCAAAAATTAGCGGAACAATAATACACATTGAAAAACAGTATAAAGTATATGTGCAAAAAATGTTTTAACTCTATCGAACATACTAAGTCAGAGAAACGTGGGCGTTTTTGCACTTTTTTATTCATATAAATATTAGCTTGAGGAAATGCGATCCGTTATTTCCGGTACGTAAATGAATTTATTTTTAAGGGTTAAGAACAACTTTTGAATTCTACAGTAGAAAGAAATTAATTCAGATTATATAATACCCACGAAGATTGTGTGTCATGACAGAGTTAAGGGTATTCTTAAATGAATTGTTGTTTTGAATTATACTTGAAAATATTTTTTAACATGTGTAGGAAATTTATTTGACTTGTTATTATTAGACAAAAAAACGATTAGAAATCTTTATTAATATTTAAAATCTATATTTCTTTGTTTAATTAGATATATTCAATGTTTCATAAAAAAAAAAATAAGTAGTCAAGTATTTTAAACAGAAAACAAACGCTCAAATCATAATAATATTGAAAATTTATAAAACTAAATAAGAAGCTATTTTTTATAATTTCTCTTAAATCAAATTCGTATTTTCTTTAAAAAATTAAAGACTATGTAGAAGACTTTGTCTATGTAAAAGAATATTACCTTAATCAAAAGTAATTTTCTTTTTTTTATAAATTTTATTAAATAAAAATTCTACTTGAAATGTTTTCTTTAATATTTTAAAAGAGAAAACATAACATATTTTTTTGTTTATGTATTGTAAAATTTAGATATTGTTTTGTCAAATAAGGTCGAAAAAAAAAAGATCTAAGTCGATAATATATTTTATGACTAGACAAAAAAAAAACTTTTTTCAAAGATTTTAATATTCAATACTATTTTCTACCTTTGAAATAGGATTAAACGATTTTTCATTTGTATCTACAAGAAAAGAAATAAATAATTTCGTTTTAATTTATAAAAAACTGAATAAATTTTAATCTTACTATTATCTTTTT